TTAAAAATTGTTTTATGAATCGGTTTTATAAACCATTAAAATTCTAAAGCGCTAATCTTTTTGACCGTTTCAGAATAAAAAATGAACAGACAAAAAATAGAAAAAATTTAAGCTTGAAAAAAGTACATAAAAATTCTTAAACTTTAGCAGGTTGACAAATTTACGTTTTGACTTACTTGATCTAAACTTTCTTTTTTTTTTTTTTCTTGAAATGTTTATAAACAAAAAAGACGATGTGTTTGTTCAACCCGTAATTTGGCTATAAAACAATCATAAGATCACTAAAACAATATCTGAAATCTTTTTACTGTTTAAATTAAATTAACTACTATTTTGTTTTCCTGAATAAAACTTGCTGAAAAAAAGAAAGTTTTTTTAATCAGTTTTTTTTCGTAATTTTATTGCATTTTAAATTTATATTCTGCATAAACTCTAATGAACTATTTTGTTTAGACTAAGACTGTTATTTGTGTTATGATAGTGCGTAGTTTGTGAGAACAAGCTATAAAATATAAGCTTTTTGACGTCGATAAAAAATGTGACTTAAAAGTGTTAAGCCTATTGCCTACATCAGACATACAAAACAACGAAATTTTGGAGCTTAGAAATTTTTGACTATTGAATAACAACGGGTGTAAATATACAGATATATAATGAGAAGAAAACTACGCTATAATTTGGCACCAGATAAGATAAAAAAAACTCCCACAAATAGTCAATTGACCTTATAAACTATTGTAAATCATATTAACTAATAAGCAGAATTTACGCTTAAGAAAAATTATAAAAAACTTACAATTTTTGCTTATCAACTAATACGCAGTGTAATCACTTACAAAAATTGTTTCCTCTTTTTTAACTGTCTTTAGTTTAGTTGTTTATAGAGATTTTAAAAAAAGAAGTTTAAACGGTTATTTTACAACATAATGCTGACACAGCATTCACATAAACATTTATAGAAAAAAAAAACAGTATTAAACATAAACTATTTTTGTTAATGGTATTAGTCGTAAAAAATTTTTTGTCACAGTTATCAACGAAAATAGTAAAGACAAAAGATCAGTTGACACTAAGGACAGTGACTGTTGATAATATAACTAATGACACAATTCATTCTGTTGCAAAACTGTCATATGTTTGTTCAGATGCCTCCTTTTGACTTATTTCGACCACCTTCTTTTGCACTTGTTTAACCTAACCTTTTGTCGCTAAGATAACGTTTTTTTACAGTTCTTGTAAAATTTTTTTTTTCTTGACGCTACTAATAATTGAAACTATGCT